ACCCAAATTACGGCGCAATACAAATTTCAGTAACAACATCAGCTATGGCCGGGGACTGAATCCTTATTACGTTGGCAATTCCAATAGATTTAACAGCACAGTTGGATAAGGTTTAAGGAGGTAATGGAGGAAGCTCTTCCTTCTTCAGCTCAGTGACTGAATCTCTGGGGGAAATGGGGGCCTGAATCAGGCCACGAACCCTACAAGCTCCAACACCAATACAGGAGGAAATTTGGGCATCGGAGGAAACAGCTGGCGGTAGTACTATTAATTGGACCTCCCCTCACCAATTACTGCTCAAAGGCGGTAAAACAGCGCTCCAATGATAGTGCAAATTTTAAGTTATGGAGGTGGTAGCAACAGCTACGCATTGGGCAGCGTGGGGTATGGAAGAAACAGCAGATCTGGTGGCCCCTTGACATCATCATATGGTACATCAAATGGTGCTTATGATGGTGCCTTTGCAGACCTTTATGCAAGTGGTTCAGTGTATGGTGATGCTGTTTGGCGCCCGCCAACTCTGAGAGGGGGAGGATCTGGTTCATTTTGGTTATGGAATTGGCAATGCTGCTTCAGATGTTTCCAGCTAAAAGCTCCTCCAGGTTATGTTGGTGATTACAGCTGCCAATAAGAGAGTGAACTAGAGGTAATGTCTCACTCTGAGATTCCATGCAATTTATTAAACTCTCTTTAGTACTTTAACGATTCCTCAACAAAGATTTTTTTGGAAAGAACCTTTATTTTCCTTTCCATATGTCAAGGGGAAGAACAATTCTTTTATCCTGGTATATTTGTTTCCTGATCATTCTTTTAGGGGCGCATTTCAGATTAGTCAGTTGTTTTGATTCTAATGTTTGCAATAGTTGAACAATATTGCTCTGAGACAAATATTCTACGCTTGTTAAAAAAAATACTCATATCCATTAATTGCGTCTCCCCTATCTCTTATTACAGTCTATCATACAAATGCCAACAGTTCTTCCCTTTTTTTGGATTGCTAGCCATCATTCTTCTGCCATGACTTCAAGCCTGTTCCTGAAGTAGATGATTTTATGTCCTCAAATTAAGGAAAAAAATAGATAACTAATACGAGATTCACAATCTGTTGTTATTGGGGTTTTTCTTAAGATGATCCTAAATGATGGAATCCCAGGGTGTCCCACTGAGTTCCACTCGGCCCATTAGGACAATAGCGAACAACTTCATTTACTTATGAGGTTGCTTGGTATGTGAAAGTTTTACATATGGCTTAGAACCCTATTATGTCATCTCTGAAGATCCTTTGGACCATCCAATTTGACAGTGTTGGCTGTTAATTCCTGGTGGTGCTACACCATGCTGCCATGATTTATCCTTTGGCATATGGTGATAGGCTGATTGCACTGTTTTCTCCTTAATAATGTAATGGTTATGTGTGATTTTTTTGTGGGGTGGATAAGTAAGTGCATAAGAAGCTTAACTTTTACCTGGTGAAGCTTTTCCAACAGCATATGTGGTGAGAATTTTCTCGAGGGCTTTATCTCCTACTATGGCTGTATTTGGGTGGGTTTGTGTTTGGGCGAGATAGTTGTGTTAAGAACCGTAACTTTCACATGGCTGAGCTTTTAGGTCGTAGCTGCATGTGCACGAGAACTTTCTTGAAGAGTTTAGCTTCTGTAATTAATGCAGTTGCGCATGCATTCAGAATTGCAAATTTCAATTGAACCTTTATTTGATGGTTGTCTTAAAGATCCACTGCAAGTATTTTTTGCAGGGATGGTATCGAGGTAAATGTAAAATTTGTCTGTCTACTCTTTTGGTGCTACCAGTACCAGCTGTGCTGTGATTCCTGGGTATATGCTCACAAATTCATCTGACCCCTTGATTCGGATTAGGATATCAAAACATTTAAGCTTGTCTTGAGTACTATTTATTTCCCTCCTCTCCCCTCTTCCATTTGACCTTGCATGTACTTAATATGACCCAAAAGCGGAACTAGGATTCCTTGTAAGAAATTGAAACTGAGGCCATGAAACTGTCAAAACTTTCATGAATGAAATGGTCAATATGCTTTTTATTTCATACTCATATGTTTTGGAGATAACATCTTGGAAAATTTTACATAATTTGCAACAAGATTTATTAAATGCATTGATTCAGCTCAGTTTTAGAAGTCTACGTGTGAGATGCAGGAGCACAACTAGATTTATCAAGTACTAGTTTCTGGTTGATTAGTGAATAATATGAAACCCCTAAAACATTTTTCATGTCTGTGTAAAGTGGCTTGATGGTTTAATATACTAGTGAAGGTTAAATTTTTCTGTTGTAGCAGAGCACAGACTGAAAATGTCAACTTGCGAAATCATGAACTTTGTGCGCTGCTTTGGGTTAAGTTTGTTTGAAATTATGTGCTTAAAAACACTAGTTTCTAGTCCATAGCGACAGGCACGAGTTTTCATCCTAAGGAGCAAATGTAATAGTAGTACTAAATTATTACCTTTCTATTGGCAGCTTCTGGCACTTCTTCTGCTGTTGTGCTACTTTGAGTTCTCTCTGTCTCTGTCTCTCTCTCTCTCCACGCAAGCCAATGCATTGGCAAATGCTAATATATTAGAAATGCTATTTGAGGTGCTTTGACGTTCCAAGAGTCTGTTGCATTGACTTTGTCTACTCTCCAACATGTGTATGCTGATAATTCCTTTGTTTCCTACTTGAAAGAAAAGGTACATAAGCACACCCCTGTTTAATGAAAGTTAATGGACTCCCCATGCTTTCTTAAATCTGCTGTGCACTTCCCATTAAATGTGGAGGATTGGTTCCATTTTCAAGAGAAATACCCCTTGTGTGTTGGAGTGCAGTTGGAAAACCTCTAACTAATTTCGTTGGAGTAAGCAGTGTTTATGAAATTATCTTTAGAATATTATATACAATTGGGTTTTGGGTTTGTTTAATTCAATGTGGGAATGATTCAGTTTAGACCTTCCTCCCAATGTTTCTCTTAGCTCTCTTCTTCACGTCCTTCATTTCCCACAAAAATCAAGAGAGGGAAATAAAGAGATATGGCTACACAGGAGTAAAGCATTCATTTTCCTTTTAACGAAACCGACAATATAGTTAAGGTCTTATATGCTCATTCAATTATATCTCGATATCCATCTAGTATGATGTATGGAATATATGACAAGGTGGAGTGTTCGAGGATGTCGATTGATAGGTCATGTCTTAGAGGCCCAAGTTGTACGTCCAAATGCTTATTTCTACACCAACTAATATTCCTTGTTTGTTTATGTTAGTGTAGGGGAAGGATAATCTATGGTCTTTCCAAACCATCGTGAGAGTGTTTAATGTACATATGTAATTATAAATTGTAATGTCCCAAAGTCACTTCTGAGAGAGAGAGAGAGAGAGAGAGAGAGAGAGAGAGAGAGAGAGAGAGAGAGAGAGAGGCATTTTCTTAATGAAGGAAAATGGATCCTGGATTGGGTCTATTGGATTTTCACGTGTTGATATTCGGGAGGAGATGGTTGTAACACTAGACAGGCAATGAGGGCATTGAATACTTGTTCCATCTGAAGTTGAATTGCTTTTTTAGTGTGCGGCTGTGATTGATGGACTTTTGTCGTGCTTAAGCATTTATCTGTCGGGATGTATCAGTAGTGAATGTTGACCGTATTATATTTAGAATTTATAACCATTTCGTGGTCCAAGTTAAAAGTTTGAATCACCTTTATCACATGAGACATCGTGAGCTAGTACTTGTTGGTTTTTTTTTTCCTGATGATTGTGCATCACATGTATGCATATGTGTTTTACGTGATGCTTCTGTAGAGGTGTCAATTTAACTCCAACTGAAGTCGTTATCCTCCTGTCCTTGTCTACATGTTGAAGTTCAGGCAAAAAATTTCTTGTATAGAAATATTACTTTCTTGTTGGAAAGTGAAAATCCTTTGTATCACCATTTGCTGTTAGAAGTTGCTTTCATTCAACAGTAATTTATTGTTGCACAGAGATCCATCTTTTCTTCCTTTAATTTAAGTATTTAGTAATTGTGTATACAAATATTCAGCATTTTGATCTAACAAGTTTGCCTTTTTTGCATCAGGCATTGCTTCCTAGGGAGATCATCTCCATACATTCAGAATGCAGTAGGTGAAGAAGAAATTGGTGAAGCTGGTGAACTATGATCTGGGATATCTCTCTAAAACTTTGGTCAAAGAAATTGGTTGTTTAGAGCTAACGGGATTGTCTTTTGGAAAATTAAACTTACAGATAGAAGTTACACAAGGATTTTGTGTTGAGGCTTGAGTTTTTGAGGTACAACTTTAGGTTGTTTTCTGCTACTTGAGTGCATGCAAAAAAAAAAAATTAGATTTAGCGGATATAGTCGGAAATGTATCATGCATCCTGGTGAGGTGGCGATACATAGAAGCATAGACTGATAAAATTTTTTCCCCTAGAAGTTTCCTATTTCCCTCAATTGTCTGGCAAGGTTATGAGTTCTTGTCCAGGTTCCTTTCTTTCTGCAGATTAACTGAAATCTTTGATTTACTAGTGTGAAAACGTTGAGGGATACCTATGTAGGGTCCCGGGGAATAAGCTACTACATAATTCGATTCTTTCTTCCGTGGATACTATTAATGAGACACATTTGAGCTTTATTTGATTGCAAAGTCTAAGTTTGTCATCAAGTAGTCATCAAGTTACTTCATATTTGCGCGGTTTGAACTTTATTTCATCTCGTGGTACGAAGTACTTCTTTGACATATCCGCTTATGCGTTTGCTTGTGGTAATCCAGGATTTTGGTGTAGATTAGTTTCTTATTCTTTTTTCACTCGTTCTTGGTAAAAAAGTTGTTTGTCATCCTTGTAAACTTATCTTTTGCTGTCATACACATTTCATTCTGTTGACTAGTTTCTGTTACTCTGGTTAATGTGGTTGTCATCTCATTTCGTTTCTTCACTGGGTTAACCAGATCTCTAGGAAAAGCATCAGTCACTGATGTGTTTGTATACATAAGATGTCAAACTTGATTTCTTTTTCATATGGGGAAGTTTCCAGTACAGTGCACTCACTGGTAATCATGTGCTTGATGGCCTAACATAGAAGGAAAGTGTGTGGAACATAGCCGGTTTGTGAGCTGTGATGGAGCTCTCTGGTCCCATTGGCTGAGTAATATTTTCTTCTTAGGGACAATGAGATGATGATAATGACAATCTTCTCATGGTCCAACAGATCATGCACTAGCTATGCTCAGGTCCCAATAGGTAGATTTTTTAGAAAGGCATCTCTCTCCCTCTCTCAAGTGATCACCCTTTATTTGCATCATCTTTTGAAAGCCCTCTAATGATGAAGATGTTCCTAAAGAGAGACCGCCTTGGCATCGCCGCAATCGATGGCGATTTGCATGTTGTGAAAGAAGCACATCGTGGATTTTACCAAAGAAAGAGGCATTTGTGGAGGTGGAATGTCACCTTTGTACTCTTTTCAGTCTTCAAGCTAAATTTGTAGCCAAAATTCCTGGCGTCATAGCGGGTAATCGATTTTATGTACTTTTCATTTACGAAAGCTGGGTGATCCAAAATTTGAGCAAGTAATTATCCTCTAACTAGTAGGGAATACCCTCATCCTTCTTCAATCTCAAATCCTTGTTTCATGAATAGCAGTTACCTATTCATTTGAGGTTTTGATTCTCTTGAACAATGTCATAATGGCATAAAAGAGAAGGCGAGATACGAAACGGTGCGCAGCGGAGCACAAGGAACCACATTGCTGATCTCTTGCGATAGGACTTTTTGGTTGCTGTCATCGCCGTGTTGCTCTAGAACCTCGATGAAGTGCTTTGAATGTGCATTTTACTTCTCATCTGTGAGAATTCATTAGCTAAACAATTGTGTTTTTGACTAAGGTACAGAATCCCCCCAATTCAGCTATCATGTTGAGCATACTCTGATGCAAGTCGACGAGTTGGCTCTGAAACCAATGGTGTGAGAGCAAAAGCACCAGATTGAAAAGATAAGTAGAATCACTCGAAACCGAGAACCACATCATCAGCTCTCGCATAATTAGGAATGTGTATAACAGAGGAAACAGATTTCTCAGACATGAAAGCCTGGATCTGATGAGACTCTTTAACCTGACAATAGTTGTATTTCTCGAAATGCAATCAACCGATTTAGGAATGATGAAAGAAAGAGTTTCGTATTACACTCCGAGGTTGCTATCGAATTTTTTCTGTGAGCTAATTCAATCTGTAGCTTCCACTCGCTTTCTCAGAACCACCAATCAGTCCCTCTCTCCTCATCTTCTCTTCCTTGGACTTCCTACAGAAAATCACCCAGCTATTGACCTCTAATGCTATGCACGCACCAATCAAAGAGGACAGGCACAAACAGTAGCTCAGCTTCTCATAGGACCTGCCTAAGCCCATTGCTTCAAATCCTTGGAAGACATTCACGACTCCTATTACCACACAAGCATACCCAACAAAGTGGTGGTATGATTTCCAGTATTTCCTGAACTTGTGCGTGGTCCGGGGCCTGAAAAGAAGCGCCAGCATCTGGAGCGCGCCGAGGCAAAAAGCCGCAAACCCGAGCTTCCGGTGGAGCCCGTACACCACTCCTGGAGACAATTCCCCGAGCCTAATCCCGATGCCGAACCCGACAGTTCCAAGGAAGAAGGAGGACAGTTGTATCCCGGCATGAGCATAGAACCACGCGGGTCCTAGCGCCTGCACATGCCTCAGGTACCGGGCGATCACCACTCCGGTAGGGAGCAGGATTCCCCAGGCGATGGCATTTATGGTCCCGTGAACCGTCTTTAGAGTTCCAATGTTGCTGTGCCGAGAAGCGGCGGATCCCGACAGGACATCAATCGTGGCAATGGACGAGAGATCATTCTCGGTGGTCGGGTGAATGGTTGGTGAATAGCCTTGGACATATAGTCCGCGGTTCCAAACGAAATGGATTTCTGTCTTGTTCGGAGTAAGCTTTAATGTGACATAAATTTGAATTTGAGCTCCATTGTGGACCGTGGCCAGTTTCCCGCCGTAGAGCGTGGCGGAAGACGACAAGAGGTGGACGTCGTCAAGCGGGCGAGAAAGAAGCGGTGCCTTTTGGAGCTTGACCGTCGGGTCCAGGACGAATGGGAGGAGCACGATCTGGCCTGAGTTCGGGTCCGGGAAGGCGATAAGCGCGCGAGTCCCGGTCATCTCGGCGGAGGTGGGGTTGATCCCCACCCCGGCCCAACCGGACAGGGGAGATGAAGGTGCCGAAGAAGGCGAGGTCGAGGGTCGCATTGCGGGGTGGAAGGTCCAGGCCAGGGAAGCTTGCTGGGTGGGGGGGAGGTGCATTTCTGGAAAGACTTGGTGGATGTAGTGGTGGTGCAGTGAGCAGAGAAGGCAGGTTCAGGACAGGAGGACAGGAGGAGAGCGAGGAAGAAGATCAGATGATGAATTGGCATGGTCATTGTGAATTGTGGAAGAGAAGATGGTGAGATGAAGTTGAAGATGAGTTGGGTACCCTGAGTGACAAGCTCTTGTTGGTGACATTTTTATGTGATGGGTCGGTTGTTGAGGAATTTTTGGGAAGTGAAAGTGATTGCTCATCATAGCTACTCAGGAAGCTGATTAGAAAAGTCTTTTAGTGCTTGGCTTTGAAGGTAAGATAGCCCTCAAAGATGACAATTCTTGTCATTTCTTTCCTTCTTGTCCTACAAATGCTCTTTTCACTTGACATGAGTTCATCATGTTTTGCTTCACTTTGAAGCTAAGTTATTACATGTCCAAAACGACTTTTTGGACATGAGAATGAGAGGTTTCGACACTTTGTATGCCCGCACCGTGACAGAATATCTCACTAATTAATATGGCGACGACGAGGATCGATTGTTAAGAACCTTATAGTGGAATATTGAGATGGCATCATGACATTCGCTATATACAATCAACAAACAATGATTACTAAAGATAATGGGGGGAGATAAATTCAAATGGTTCTCCAAGCATGCATTTGCAATATGATGGGACTACTTTTTATTTTATTTTATTTTATTTTGGTTCGATCATTTATAACTGCACCATCCCGAGTGCAAAAATGCAACTTTATGGACATCACATAAGCTGATCTAATCTCGATAAATCTATAGATAGAAATTATTTGATCTATGAATGTTCACTCTATTGATACTAATGAATAATATCTAATCGGTTTGTCCCAAAAATATTGAATCACAATTCATCAGGGAAAAATTATCCAAATAGTCATAAATTTATTGTACTTATGCCAGTTTAATCCTAAACTCTCATAAACTTTTTGTCGATTTGCCAATTGAGTCAATCTGGCCAATTTTAATCGGAATTCGTTAATGTGGACGCCGACTGTCTTACGTGGTATAATCATGCTGATGTGAAATTTTTTTAAAATATTTAATATGTCTCGATATTTTATTAAATTTTTATGATTTTTTTTCCTTTTTTCTTCCGCTTGGCCTCGCCTGGGCGAGGGTTGCCATTGCTTGCCACAAGTGAGGCTTGGTAGAGAGAGGGCTCCCTTTACCAGATTTGGCGAGGCCGGCCCTTGCTTAGGCTAGGGTAGCCTTGCTGGGCGTCGCCCGGGTGAAAGCGACGCCTGGTGAGGGGAGCCCTTGCCAGGGCTTGTCCTTTTTTCTTCCGCTTGGCCTCGCCTGGGCGAGGGTTGCCATTGCTTGCCACAAGTGAGGCTTGGTAGAGAGAGGGCTCCCTTTACTCAGATTTGGCGAGGCCTACTCCTGCCTAGTGCTGCAGGCTCTTTGCCAAGGCGTCGCCCTGGTGAAAGCGACGCCCTCGTGGTGAGGAGCTCCTCGCCAGGGCTTGCCCACACCGACCGGGCCTCGCTCGTGATGGCGATGGCGATGGCGACCCTCGCCCAAGTGAGCTCAGCCCGCTTGGTCAGAGCTGGGGGTCGGCCATTGCCTTATGTCTAGAAGATGATCACCGGTAAAAGGAGGAAGAAAAAAGGGAAAAAAAAAAGAAAAAAAGAAAGTAAAAAAATAAAAAGATATCATTAAAAATTATCTATTTCCGGGCCAGCGTCTATGCCACCAATGAACTCAATTGGCAAATTAATAAAAAGTTAAGAATTATAAATAATAAAATTGAAAAGTTCAGGGCTTCGTGGACAATTTTTCCCAATTCATGAAGAAAGTGCAACTGGTTCGATTGGGCTTCGCAAGCAACGACGGGTCAAAAAGGCCCGACCCGTCTCGT